GCCTAATGAGCTTATATTAGATCTTCAACTGGATGATAAACCAATGTAGATTTCTTATTTTTTTCAAACCTTTCATTGCTACCATCTAGATAATTATGAAAAAATAATCCGTGAAAATAAACACAAACTTGAGCATACTCTATGATTTAAAAGATCAAAATTCAAAAATTTCAACATCTAAAAACATTTGAAAATTGTGTGAAAAAACTTATTAAAGGAAGAAGGAAAGTAAAGGGATAAATTGATTTGAAAGATACAAAACCAAAAAGAAAGATCCAGATAAAAGTTTCCAAATTATGGAAAAAAAAAAACAAAGGAGTACACTTGGCACGTATGAATACATAGTAGCAAGCCTAACTTTCCACCATTGTGCGGCGGTACACTAAAATATCGTTAATCGAGTGTTTTAAAATAATTTGTGTTTTGTCGTCAAATAACAATCTAGTCTCACAATCTAGTGTAATGTACTCCATCTCTTCCTTATTACAAACCTTTATATCAAAAATAATATGGGAATTAAAAAGCGTGATAATAGTTGAGGAATATTAAATTAAAAAGATAAAAAGAAATTTTGGTGAAAACCATCTTATTAAACCAAATTTTGTTGAAAACCATCTTATAATAATTTATTTTTTTTTTGTCAAAACACACCTATTTTTTTTAAAAAAAAATTGTTAAGTCCCACCACTCCCTGAATTCCGACAAATTGACTTACATTTCCAACGTTAACTAGCATGTGCACCTCACATGAGCACATGACCCACTAAATCTCACTTTTTCTTTTATTTTTCCCCTTTTCTCTCCATTCACTTCCCTTCTTCATCATTACTATACTTCTGCTATTTCACTCCTTCAATTCACAAGCAATCGGGGCTTCTCCTTTCTGCAACTAAGAGCCAATTCCAATTGAAGCTCCATCATTCCCCCCTTTCCCCCATGATCACTTCCCTTCTTCGTTATTTCGCTGCTTCTGCCAAAGGGGGAAAAAATAAGGGTTTAGTGGGCCATGTGAGGTGCACATGCTAGTCAACACCGGAAATGTAAGTCAATCGTCGAAATTTGAGGACTGGTGGGACTTAACAAAAAAATATTTAAAACATGTGTGTTTTTTTTTAAAAAAAATTATATTATAAGATGATTTTCAACAAAATTTGGTTTTTATAAGATGGTTTTCAACAAAATAATCAAGATAAAAAGTAAAGAATATTGTATGAAAGATATAAAAATAAATAATGATTTTTTTAAATATATATGTATTTTGTAGGGAAAGATAAAAAGTACATAAGTAAAGAGTAGATTCATACTCCATCCATATAAAGTTTGGGTTTAGTACAGAGTATGAATATACTCAAACCCACAAAATCAAATCAGTCATTTCTTTTTCTTCGATTCCTTAAATCCCACGACTAGATTTGTTTTAGGCCAGGGTGCGTTCTATTCACCTGATTTTTAAATATTTGATTTTATCTGAACTTATCTAAACTAATATGATCTTATATGAACTAATAATCTGAACTAATTTGAACTTATCTGAACTTATTAGCCTTTATTAGTTATTGTATTAATTATAAATGAAACTTGGGTAGCCTTGATTAATTAACCCTAATCACAACTTATCTAAACTATTTTTTCTGAACTTATCTTATCAAAACTTGTCTGAACTTATTAACCCTTATCTACCTTAATCTTCCTCCGTACCTATTGAAAGAGATTCTCTAGTTACTTTTTTTTTTTAGCATCGAATATCAATTTCACAATCTAGTTTCGTTGGTATTTTTTTTCAAACTTAATTTTGATAATTGAGTTAAATATGGTAGGAGGATTTAGCTGCTTTTTTTTTTTTTAATTTTTTGTTGAAGATAAGAAGATTTAGCTTGTTTACAAGAATTTTGGTTATAACCCTTGATTAGAATTTTGTTACATATTTTCTCAAAAAAAAAAAAAAAAAGGGATATTGTTAGATATTTGATTCGAAAAAGGCATTGGTGGCAGTGTTGCTATATCTAGGTTTAACAGTATCTTGTAATTAATTCTTTATTGCAAGAATTGCGAGTGAATATGGATTTTTTTTTTTAACAAAAGATCCACATATAAGTATATAACGAAATACATTCTTACAACCAAAAACCAACTAAAATAACAAACTAAGTGACAGGAAAACCAAATAAACAGAAAGCTACATAAAAAAAACATCTTCTTTCGCATACCTTAATCCTGCAAAATACCTTAATCCTGCAAAATAAGAAACGGTTAGAAACATGCATTCCGCTACCTGATTTCCGTAAGCCTGGAGATGGATAGCGACATAAAGAGGCTGAATGATTCGATGATAGGGACCGCACTGATAACCGAACATCCCAAGCGGGATTAACATTCAAATGAGGCAAGCCAACTGGATTACTAATTTGGACCGACGGATAAGAAAACTCTGAAGCTATGGCATCAACTAGGAGGGGAGGATCTTGTTGGATAGGAGTTGGATCATCTATCATCAAGGTATGTAGGGAAACATCTTGATGACTCAAGGAACGAAGGAGATTTCTTGCATTGAAAGGGGGCCTCTGCTTCCCAAGATTTGTGACCTTGGAGGGCCTCCGCCAAAATAGGTTTTGGTACCCGAACAAATCAGATAGAAATAAAAGAAAAACAGGCAAATTATAAAACTAAAGCTTCTGCCCAAAGCAATATTCCCCAAAGTTTCCGATTCCAAGAATTAACAAACTTGTGATGACGCTTCTTATCCACAATCAAGCCATCTAAATCATTATTATGTGACGCCAACGGAAAGGATCCAGTAGACGGACAAGCTGGGGATTCACCTAAACACCCAACATTTTGAGTCGGTTGTGCCATGCCCTGTAAAGGGTCCATCTCCATGGGAACCGAAAAAGAGCCTTCCAAAGAAACACAAGAAGAATTTTCCTTATTCTTCTTAGAGGAAGCAACATCACCAACATCCAAACTCCTTTTCACCTTAGCCCCCGAGTGTAGCAGATTGGGTTTGCACACAGAAGGAAAAGCCTTAACTTCACACTTAGGCTCTAGGCTCGGGGGTGAACTCACACTACAATTTATACTCAACGCTTGGTAGATAGACTCACCTGTTTGCCTGATTAATTATCGATTTGTATAAACTTGAGTTAGCTGCCAGGACTTCGGTAGAGTGTTCTTAGCAAAATGTTATTCAATCTCTAAAATGCATTCTCTGGTTAGATTCTTGTCTAATGTTCAACATTTATCGTTGTATGGCTGTTTAATGTGGGTATGTCTCAATCTCTATTTTCGTTATAAGCTGAATTATTCTTATTTTCCCTTCCTTTTATTATAGTAAAAGAAGGATGAACTTTTGGAGTATGAAATTTACCAGTTGCTTGAACTTTGTTGTTAGGAGTTCGACACTGCTGGTGAAACGGTCTTAAAGGATGAACTAACCATGTTTCCTAATCTGAAACATCTAGAGCTGAATGGTGATGCTGAAAACTACTGGAACAATATGTTGTTGCCCTTTCTCAACCGTTCACCTGTCTTGGAAACACTTGAATAAACATATACATGGGCGATGCTGAATCTCTAAGCGGATTTTTTCAACTCTAATTGTTATTGTCGCCTACTTTGCAGGGATTCGCTAGGAATCATGGTGACAGAATAGGCGAGGATGGGAGAATGGCACTGGAACAAGAATTTTTTTACTTCAAATCAAGAGATTCCTCAATGTTGCAGGTATCATCTCAAAAGAATATGGATAAAAAAATACTATGAATTAGAACAGGAAGAAGTAATTATCCAGTTTCTCCTGAGACATGCATTCGCTTTGGAGGAACTAGTCATACGCTTGGCTCGAAATACAAATCCAAATCCAAAACCAATTCAAGATCAGATGTCAATTGAGAACACATTGAAGAATATGCCAAGAGCCTCCGTCACCTGTTCAATTCAAGTATTATGATCACCATGGTCCATGTTAATATCTATCTATTCTTACCTACAAGTTGTCCTAATGCTTTCGGGACGGTGCCTTGGATTTTATTTATTTCCATGCATCTTATAGGAAAATTTTACACTTTATTTTCGTTATGATGCGGATCAAGAGCATCAAAATCAAAAGAGTTTGAAGTGGCGTTAAACCGAAAGTTATGCATGATTAATAAAATTAGTGTTTGTTTTCTTAATTAGTTGGAACTCAAAGGCCTGCAACAAATTCTACTTCCAGCAAAAATATGTAGAGTATGATTACTATGACAACAATCCATTACTTGACCATGACCTCAATTGTAAATTAAGGCATAAATACTAAACACCTGATTAAATTTGTCAGAGCAGCAAAACAGGCAACTTATTATTACCATAAGGATTGCAGTCGAATCCCACACCTATGACCATCTTCTGAGACACAAAATAGCCTGCAAGATTATTGTACATAAAATCAGATATATTTCCTAGCGAAATTGATGAGAGAGGATGCTAACCCACATCACGGAGAGGCAAATCGCAGAATGCAATACTTTGTGCCAAAGATGACGGACCAACATCATCCACAAAGTTTATCATTGAGTTATGACATGAAGATCCACAAAGAGGGGGAATTTGGAAGTACCTGTTATCAACACTACCAGAAAAACTCAAACTAATTCAAAAGGAAAAAACCATAGTTTCTTTAGAGAGAGGGGAAGAGAGGAAGAAAAAATAATTCTAGCAAGGACGATGTATGCAAATTAAATAATTCTTATTTCCAATGACTAAAAGCAATTTAGAAATATGAGCAGAGAAATACAAGAAGTTGCTGAACAGCACTCAGCCCTACGAAATGGAAGGCCAAAAGTACACAATTTTGAAGTCCCAATAATAACAAAAGAATGAACTACAAAAGAACGAACTACAAAAGTTGAAATTTATATATTAAATTGAATCTAACAAGATCGTGACTGTTTTTCCTAGTTAAAATCAGATTAATCACTAATAAAGAATGACAACACCAAAATTTACACACAAGAAACTGCAACTTCTACAGAATAACACCAAAGTTTTGTTGCAATTAGCAGATTATAGTTATAGGAACATGACTAAACACCAAGTGAATGTAGTCGACTTCCCACAACTGGGCCAAAGAATGTTAATTTTAAGACGCATTGCATCCTGAGTCCTGACAAAGAAGAAGAATAAGACCTCTATCTATACAGCACAAACTAACTAGATCTTCTAACCAATAAAAAAGCAGAAAGCATCGTAACAATTAATCATATGGGGTCTTCAAGGCTTCTTCCTTTGAGCAACTGACATCACAACTGCTCGAATGAGGACTTGCAAAAGCTAATAATGTAGCTTTGCTTCAGTCTGAATATGTTGAGTTGCTGGCTGCTGGTTTGAAGCTAGTGTGACAGCTAACATAAACCAATAGAAAGATATTTTGAGAACAGAAATTAAGGAAATATAAAATCAATAATATGCAATAATGCATCGATGCATCGTACCTCAATGCGATAGCCAAGTTGTAATTGCTACCAAAGGTAGCATAAACAACAATCCACGATTCACCAAAGTTTCTACATCAACTATACTATCGACTTTGTTTTGCAGAGTAGCCCACATCTTGTGAATAGGGCAAACTTGATCCTTCAAAGTGCAACAAAAAACTTCCGCTATAAGACTCATTACAGTCAATAAACTTTGGACTTGAATCAAAAGACTTGACAAAACTTTACCACTGTGTAAGAGATAGTTTCCAAATCACTGTCAGCTAGCAGCTCTCTTTGTTTCTGCAAGTCAGCTTGCTGCTCATGTGACATGCTTCTAATATCCCTGCCTAAATTCTTGTTTGAGAATGCTTTATACGCAGACTTCGTGTGAATTGTTTCCATGACTGAGCCAAAGAAATTTGTCACAGGAACCTGAACAGAGAGGGAGAATAGGTAAGTAAAAGGAGTGGTGAGGGCAAGTCAAAGAAAGTATTTATGAATGATTGGATAAAAAATTTATCATTTCCATCTTTTATATCTAGCTGGGATTAAAAAGATCTACTCTTCATATTCCTTCCACCTCTAACCCACCGTAATGGAATGGATATAAGGAGAAAAGCAACATAAAATAAAAAGGAGACAAGGAGCAGCATATCAACACTACGGGACAAAACTAATTATGGAAGCGCTAGGAAGTACAGCAACATGGACTACTTCTGACAGCAGTAAGAGACAAGCTTAATAAAGGTTAGGTTATCTTTGTTATCATTTGTGACTTTGCTTGATTCTATAAGGAGTAGTAGCCTATGAAGTAGAACATTATGTGAATGGAGGAAACATGTAGTAGCCTCAAGTTACTTAGAGAGTGATAACCTATAGTTATCGAAGAGAGTATCAGCCTAAAGCTATTAACCCATCATTTTGTAACCTTTTAGCCATCATCAATCAAGCTTCAAGCTTCCATCTTTATTATTTCTTCTTATTTTATCAATTAAACAAAAGCATGGAAGACTAGTGAGCTTGTATGAATCAAGATTTGATCAGAATCTTCAACAATGTTGTTTGTGACAATGGCAAAGAAAATGTTGACTACGGCTAAGCAAAGGGATTCTTTGTGCTGTGTGCATGTCTATTTGAACAAATTTTGATTGGAAAAGAGTATGTAATCAAACATAGACTTTAGGGAAAGAACTTTTATAAATCATATAGGTGCAAAGCATCACATACCTCTTCTAAATTGCGCTTGTATAAATCAGTTCGGTAGTATGCAGTCGACATGAGCAAATTTGGTTTGTAAGAATTGAACAAACTGTTGCAAATAAAAGTCTAAACAAGATTAGTTGCAAAAGGATAAGGGATTAAGGGTGAATACAAAACTAATGCAATTACAATTCTATAAAAGATTAGTTGCTACATACCTGCTCAAGGAGGCATTGTCATACATATTTAGCCTTTCAAAAAAAGCAAGGGTATAATAAGTGAAGCGATCTACAACAGAAACTCCAACCTGAAAAAAGGGAAGTATTATAGTATGTAACACTTTTGCAGCCTCATTCATTAAAAAAATTGATTAATGTTAGGAAGCAACACACTTACATCTGAATCCAAGTGGTGAGAATAAGAATTTTCCCCTTTCATGCTGCTCCCAATTGCCAAAACACCAGGTGATTGTAGCTGCAAGGTTAAAAACTACATTATGTTCCACAAATGGGGTGCAAATCGTTCAAGATTTTTCACACATTCCATAAGCCTATATGATCTCTCAAGTTGTGGATAAGTAGACAACCAACTAGCTTAGTTGGGTTAAATTCTTGAGGGGTAATACTCAAGACCTGGGATTAAATCCGGTCTTCACCCTTAGCCCTTGTGGCTTTCCCAAAATAAACTAAAAAAAAAGAAATAGGTGATTTCACAAATTTCTCAGTAGCTTAATCTTCACTTTTATGAAAGAAGCTCTACCTTACGATGGATAAATCCCCTTACGACTCCCCCAAAAAGGAGGCAGAGGGATGAACGAAAGGAAAAGAAAGAAAAGGGGTAAATAATAAGGAAACGAATTCAGTACCCCTACAAAATAAAAAATTACAAAATAAAAATAAATAAATAAATAACTCTTGACTAGCTGAGAGTGGAAGGATGGCTATATACAAGGAACCCCCACACAGGGTAGCAATTTCAAAGAAGTTTAAGAATACACTGGGGACTCCTTCATGAATAAAAGCAGTGACCAAACTTTCATAGAATATTCTGAAGGTAGCAAAGGAATATGAAAAGAACATCCCTATATTATAATCACTCTTTTATACTTACTCAGATTTGTGACGTGAGGCAGTCATAGAGTCAATAAAATGATATGCACATACATGAAATAATTCTAACCTGGTTGAAAAGAGTGGCAGCTTGGCAAGTGTCAACCATTATCAAAAGCTCCTTGAATCTGAAACAGAGAGCAAACCGTAGGCATTTTAGAAACTTAAAGTTAAATTGTTTCCATCTAATCATCTTAACAGAAAAACTGCAACTTTAGATCAAACAAGCAACTTAATATCCTCAGGAATATTCCATGCAAGGAACAAAGCTCAAGGCACTCTCACAATGTTCTGAGAGTAGAAATCACAATTGTGACTTAGACATACAGTATGTATACCTAGGAGGCTAGGATAACCTATTTTTTGGTATGTTTGCTTCATAAATATAGTTATGGAACACAATACCAAGTTACCAACATCATAAAAATTTCTATGATGCTTTTATAGGAATATTCCAATTTACCAATATGCCATAGCTTGGAATGTAACTTGTCTGTTTAGAATCTTTAGATACATTTTAATCCAAAACTAATGACAAAAATTCAAAATTATTTGGCTAATAGTACTACTAAAAATCCAGGATTTGAAGCTTTTAGTATTGTTGGATTGAAAAAGTAGCCATTACTTTCCCCAAAAACATAAATTAAAATAGAAATGAAACTTCTACTTAGGCTTCTTTTGAAATAGCTCCAGTAAGGCAATCCAAATTTGGACTAATAAGTTCCTAGACATAGGCCTAATTCATAACCAAAAATATTAGGGATGGCAAATAGGTGGAAGTGTGGAACAGCTGTTGATACCCCACCCACTACCACCATCACATACCATCAACAAATTATATGCCCACCACCTATCCTACTACCCATGGCAAATTCATAGTCAATATCTACGCCCGCCTAAGCACAATAAGCTTAGATCCACATCCGCCTCACCAACCACGTAGACATCTACTATCCACAATACCAATTACCCGAAAACCTCATATACTTGGCTCAAAATGCTTGGATAAGACAAGTCCAAAAAAGAAAATAAATTCAGATTAAAGGAAATAAGGTGAAAAGAATGACTTCAGTTGTAACTGTTGCAAACATGTCTCAGAGTCAAACACATTCTTTTAGTGCTAAGGGAAAATTGCATACAAAGTTCATGCGAGAAGTAAAGGCCCACAAATTTTGAAACAAAAGAATTAGGAAATTTTACATGGTGTCCTTGTAATATATAATTGTAAATTCAGCTAAATGGAGTTTTTTTTTTTTGGTCATACTCTCAAGTGACCCTTTACTTTTGCATAACTATATAGGGTGCCCTCATTGTTGTTATATATGATACCCTAGTCCCTAGCCATAAAATGATTAATCTTTAACCTTGATCTAACAATAACTAACTCACCCCTAGTTAACACCACACCACAACCTAAGCACCAAAACCATCCCATCATTAACCTCACCACCGTCAAACCATCATTACCATCAACTAGCCACCACCACTACTGCCTCCCAGCAGCCACCACAACCACCCTTTTCACACCTTAAACCAGACAGATAGAGAATGCAAATAGGTTTAAAGCATGTAAGCCCCAAAACCTATATAATAGATATAGATGAAAGAAGAGGGCAGAAATCAAATGGAAATATCAATTACCACTCAACAAGGAGGAAGGTAAAACCCTTAATTCTTGTCAACACAAAACAAATAATGCACGGAGTAAACATATGCAAGTATTTTGTGAAACTATAGACTGTAACAGTTAAACTGGTATAGACAACAGGATCCAAATTATATAATTTCATCGATCAGAATACGCATTAAACACACGTCAAACAAGATAAATATCAAAGACATATCCTCCTCGCTATCTTTACAAAATACTCTCCATTATTGGACTGTAACCATGTACCCAACTAAAAAAGTAATAGTAAGCACTAGAGACAACTAGCTTTTATATCTTCTGATCAATGGTAGCAATAATCACAATATATGGTCACCAATTGAGGTTACCAACAGTATAAATTTATAATATCATATGCATACTTTTAATTGCTATAAGTTGAATTATCTGGACATGTAACATAATTTACCTATGCTTTTCTTTCATTTGTTTCACTGCATCTGCTAAATCATGGCTCTGAAGTTCCTCAGAGTCTTGAAACTTCAAAAATTCATCCCCACCATGACCAGTCATATACAAAAGTATATGGCTTCCTTCATCACTTAACAACCGTTTGGACCTTGGAACAGCATCTTCATGTCGCCCTGTTAAAACCCTCATGAAGTTTTCGACAGTCACCTCATAACCTCGATAATCAACCTGCAGACCAGTCAGATTGAATTTCACCATATAATTATATGATATTGTGTCATTGTACACAATACTAAAAGGATTCATAATTCACAGAGTCAAATACTAGTTATACACCAAAAGTTGAGACAGCCTCAACATCCTGCCAGAATTACCAATCACTATGTTGAAAGGCTGGGATGCATAAGGGGCTGCACACATTGTTTACAACAAAGCAAGATATAGATATTATCCAGCCCTTCAACCCAAGGGAAAATACAAAGATAAAGGGAGAATATACCCATTGTGATTGATGAAAAATAAACAATATGAAATAAGATATCCACAAAGAAGTCACCAAAAGTATAAGTGGAAGAGTGATATGGATTGTGGAAGAGAAAGAGTAAATGATATGATGACTACGACCATCCATTGTTCATTGTGGTATTTATAGCATACATTGAAATAAAGTACGCTGGAAGTAAAACTGTACAATTAGGAACTAAGAATTATTAAAGAGTGATATGGATTGTGGAAGAGAAAGAGTAAATGATATGATGACTACGACCATCCATTGTTCATTGTGGTATTTATAGCATACATTGAAATAAAGTACGCTGGAAGTAAAACTGTACAATTAGGAACTAAGAATTATTAAAGAGTGATATGGATTGTGGAAGAGAAAGAGTAAATGATATGATGACTACGACCATCCATTGTTCATTGTGGTATTTATAGCATACATTGAAATAAAGTACGCTGGAAGTAAAACTGTACAATTAGGAACTAAGAAGTATAAACTCAAAAAAGAATTAAAAAATAGTTGAAGAATATAAGAACGCACCTCAACATTGTCTCCATACAAATTAAGTCGATGGTTTTCATTGTTGAAAACTTGAGCAGGGTACTTATTTCTTGCATTACAAGCCATGTCATCAGCTAACATAAGTATTATCCTCTCATCCGGTATCCCTAGTCTCTTAACGGTCCTAAAAATGGAAAGAAAAGATATCTTAACAAATGGGAGACATGAAATAACCAATTGTAGGAGAGTCAAGCGGATTAATATAATTTTCTTTTACCTATACAAGGATAAGGTATTGGCCATGTGTCGATAGTTGAACCTTCAAAATAAAAAATGAATCAAGAAGTTTGCCCTTAAATCAAAGCAGTGCTAAGAGACTTTCACAAACACGAGCTTAAGACAAATCAATTTGAAGTTAAGAAATATAACACCGCAATTAAAGAGAAACAAGCTCCTCTAAGAATAGGCTTATCATCTCTTTTTCAATTTCCAACAAAAATAAGTCATCTAGGTGTAGTGAGACAGTGTATAGAGGCAAACACACCAAATATAGCATGGTAAAACGGTTTATGGAGTATATCAGCACAGAAGCAATTGCTCTGAATGATGATCAAAACATGCATTAGCCCTTTTATCCTACTGAAACTGATTAAATGAATGAATAACAGCACTAATTTAGCAAAAATAAAAAATCAAAATTAGGGATCAAAATAACTCCATCTCCCAAAAAAGAAAATCATTTCTCTCTGCAGGGTGAAACCCTCTCGGCTTCGGCCGAGTTCATAGAATCTCACACTAGCTCAACTTCGAAAAGATGGAAATGCTTACACAGCAATACCATACTTTTAAATTCTATAGAAATTGTTAGTATTACTAAAATTAAGTTTCAGAATAAATATTCTTCATTAGAAATTGTAACTCTCAATTGTGTTTTTGATATAAAATGCAAAAAAATTGTGGGTATTCTTTAGCAGCAAAAGATTGAGCTAATAAACAAGAAATACACAAGTAAAACATAAAATTGAAAATTGTACAACAAAATTATCTAGTCAATCAATAATATACCAATTGAATCTAATTAGGTATCATCAAATACAAAAATTGGGAACATTTACAAGAGCTTAATTAACATGAAATGGAGGAATTTACCAAAATCGAGAGGTGCAGACTAAAACAGCCCAGTTATTGGTGTGCATTGTGGTGGAAGTAGATGAACTCGATTCAGCAGCAACAACATTGTAATCATCCAATGAAAGCAATAATAATAAGGGAAGAACAAAAATGGGTAAGACTTGATTCATCTTTATTGCCATTAATATGCAATTTGAAGAAAATTTCGAAGCTTTGAAGCTTCAGACTTCAGAGATCGCAAACAAAAGAGAAGGCATGCTCTTGTTCAAACTAGCCCCACATTTTCCCTTTTTTCACCCATCAGAGTAATACTGCAATTTTTTTTTTTTATTTATTTTTTATTTTTTTTATTTTTTTAGGGAAGAGTAATACTACAATTTAAAATATTTTACCATAAATGAATATTATTCCAAAAAAAAAAAAAAAAAATTCGCAAAAAATTACTGGTAAAAGTACCTATTTGTTGGTTACAACCATTTAAGTTTATTTTTAAAACTAGTTTTGTACCCCGTGCGAAATTGGTGGCAAATCAGGTCAGCAAGTCGGATTCGAGTCAGATTTTGGGTCAATTTCGAGTTGTGCTTAGAAACTATAAAAAATAGTTAAATTTAATATTATTACAATATATAAAATTTTGGTCAAATTCGGGTTGTTTGGGTTCAGGTTTCTCTCTGTAACTTCAGGTCGGGTTAGGGATTGCCAACCCTACGAGCGATGCTCGGATTGTTTGTTGAATTTTGAGATAAATTTATAATCTATATGTCAAATTTTAAAATATATCATCAATACAAAATTAGTTAGGAATTGATGTGCTTTTGGCAAATTTGCTATCTAGTAGACATGTAATGACTAATAATAATGTTGGTGGAAATATTCGCTTTGATACATTAAAAACAAATAAAAAAAAAATAAGAAAAATTAGCAAAAAATAAATTAAATAAAATAAATGTTCAAAGTCTGTTGGGTTGACCTGAACCCAAAACTTTGGACAAGGGTTGAACATTTCTTGACTTGTAACTTGACTCAATACGAGATGACTTATGACCCGACCCTAATTGACAGGTCTACATAATAAAAAAAAATCTATTAGATTGTGAAGTATATTATTTTAATAGATTAGTGTAGATTATAAATAGGTGTTGATTAGGGGATTTTGCTCCCACCAATCGGAATGCGCCACATGGACCAATCAGGTCCTGCCAAGTGTCCCCCAGTTGGAACAGTCAGGGCTTCCCACGTGGCACGCGCTTATTCGTCCACCTTGGGACCTGTTATGTCAAGACATGTGACATACTCCATGCCTAATGGAGAAACCGGCCACCCAGGCCCAACTTCCGAGGGAAGCCCAATCGGCCCTAGGTTTACCTAAACCTAGGATGGGCACGTTTCCCAAGGTTATAAATACCTCCCTTAATCCTCATTAAGGAAAATTACAAAAAGAGAACAGAAACATTACGGAAAAAACACATTAATTACACACAGTAATAACCGGCTGATCTCGCTAACAAAGCAGATTACCTACATTAAACACTCTCACCTAGAGAGACCAAATCACTTTAATTTCCGCATTAATTACTCCTTAATCAGGTACTAACTTGACCGTTGGAGGCGGAGCTCACAGGAGTCTCCGTTATTTTGCAGGTACAGGCGTCCGGTTCCAGTCTCGGAATTGTAACTCTCCCGCAGGACATCAGAAAACCCCGAAACATTTGGCGCCGTCTGTGGGGAGAGTACTTCTGAGATGGCATCCAAATCTGTACCGACTCCTGAAGAGAGGCGTCCCCTAGACGACCCTCAAGTTCAGTCGGACAATGATACCGAAAGTGAATTCGAAGTTGAAGCTCATACAGCTTCAGACGGGACCCTAAGGGCCCGACGTACCCGTCATACCGAAAGGAGGGAACGGGAGCATCTTCAAACAGGAAGCGAGCCAGCAGGCGCACCGCCTGTTCGGCAACAGCCGACTGATGGATCTGCTCCCATCACAAGGAACGAACTCATGACCTTCATGAGGGACTTCAAGGGAGAGATTCAAGAGTTGATCAACAAGAAGCCGCCTGCTCCAGTCAAGGAGCAGTCGGCCAAGAAACCCTCCACTTCACTGAAGAGGAAGCCAGTTCAAGGGCGAGAGGCGACTCCTCATCCTAAATCTAGGAAGCGGGAGCCACCTGCCCTTGATTTCACAAAATTCCGTTATCCTACAGGAAATAGGAAACTTGTTCGTCATATTCAGGCGGACGGGTCGAAGCAAACATTCACAGATGCTCGGCTACTGCTAGAGCAGAAGAAGAGTGACCGATTGTCAAAGTCGGCCTCTACTTCAAAATTTCAAGACAGTTTGCAAAATGCCTCGATGAGGCATACTCAGTCGTATCATGAGAGTCAGTCAGGCGGCACCTCCCGTCAGTCCGGCTTTCATAGCGACCAGGCGGTACCAAACTTACCATTTGTGCCGCAACAACAGTATTTTTTGCAGCCACCTCCGTTTGGTGGACCTGCAGCAAAAAACGTCCAACCTATGGACTGGCAGCTACGGTTGCTTAGACTTGGTGAACAGCCGTCGGCCTTCTCCAAGGAAATTACTGAAGCCGCTCAGCCGGCCAAAGTGAAAAATGTACTAGTAGGCGCCTATGACGGCACTACTAACCCAAAAGACCATCTGATGGCATTCACCAACCTGATGTACCTTCAAGGGTTGGATGATCCCACTTGGTGCAAGTGTTTCCCAGCGACTCTCAAAGGAATCGCACAGCAATGGTTCGGCAACCTGCCGACTGGTTGTGTAAATAGCTTCAGGACGCTTGCTTACTTATTTGCCTCCAACTTCGCCATGAACATCCCTGCGAAGAAAACGACCCTTGATTTGGGAACAATTCAGCAGGGCGAGAAGGAGGGGCTTCGTTCTTACATCAGACGGTTTAACCTGATGAGAATACAGATTCAAGGGTTACCGGATGAGGTAGCTTATACTGACTTTTTCAGAGGTCTCAAAGACGGGTCTACCTTCAAATTTGATTTGGTAAAAAGGGTGGCGACTCTTCAAGAGGCCTCGATTGAAGCAGAAGCCTATATACAGGCGACTGATCTTTGTACGATAAAACAGTCGGACGGGAAAAAGTTCGACAAAAGAGAAGGACGACAGAAACAGTCGTCAAACAAAGATGAGAAAAGAAAACAGGTCTGGGCGGCTGATTCCTCTAAACAGCCGGCCCAGAAAAAGAAAAAAGAATTCAAACCATACTCCCCAAAGTATGCGTTTAACAAGGATAACCAGTTTATCCTAAAAGAAATCAAGGGACGGATCTCAATTGAGAAGCCGGTCCCCATGAAGGGTTCTGCAAACAACCGGAACCAAGATAAATTCTGTGCTTATCATTAGGGGTGTACACCGGTCCAAAACCGGACCGGACCTGGTCCGGACCTGTTTGGACCGGGGACCTGAATTGGGTAATTATAAGGACCGGGGACCGGACCTGAATTAACAGGTCCGGCTTTGGACCTGAATAGACCTGTTTTGTGTCTTTTTCGTTTTTTTTTTTTTAATACAAAACCTGTTGGACCTGCATATGGACCTGTTTTGTGATTTTTAGACCTGTTGCATAATTTAATAATTACATACAAACCAAAATTATCAATTACAAAACTACATAAAGTCTATAAAGTCCCGATTCTCAAACACCAAAAATACAAATGAGTCCACCGAAAATACAAATAAGTCCACGAAAACTCAGTTTCAATTTTTCAGAGTTTGGTTTTCTTTTTTTTTCTTTTTTTTTTTTTTTTTTTAATTACGATTTTCCCGGGTTTCAGGTCCGGACCTGAAAACCCTGGGTTTGCACCGGGTCCGGACCGGGACCGGGAACCTGGATTTTTAAGAACCGGGACCGGACCTGAATCAACAGGTCCGGGTCAGGTCCGGTCCGGTTCAGGTCGGTTCAGGTCCGGTTTCAGGTCCGGGCCAATTTTTGTACACCCCTACTTATCATGATGATGTTGGTCATCACACCAATGACTGCATCAGTCTCATGCGGTACCTAGACCGCCTGACTAAGCAAGGTGATCTTGACACTTATGTCAAGAAATCTACGGGGAACACTTCCTCAAAAAAGCAGTCGGCCAAAAAGAATCAGCAGGCCGACAGCTCTGATATAGATGATGCAGTCGTCTACACCATTGCAGGCGGCTTCTCAGGAGGCGGCCCCACTATTAGAAGCAACAAAGACAATATCAGGCAGTTAGATATAAATTCCGTTCACCAAGAACGGTCGTCCAAATATTCATTTCCTGAGATTGTCATCACTGAAGAAGATCTAGGAGGGGTAAGGGGGCCGCATGACGACCCTCTCGTTATTGAATGTAAAGTGGCCAACCAGAGAGTTGGTCGAATCCTCATAGATACCGGAAGCTCCTCAGATCTCATCAGTAGCAAATGTCTGTCGAAACTAAAATATCAGACTGATTGCATACATCCGGCCTCCCACCCTTTAGTAGGGTTTGGAGGAGGAGTCGTCCACCCACTGGGACGAGTAGATTTACCCATCCGCCTGGGCGAAAAAGGGGAAGGACGACACATGGTAGTCCGGTTCCTGGTAGTAGAGGAACTCTCGGCCTACAACATGATTCTGGGTCGACCTACCCTGAATAATTCCAAGGCTGTTATAATCCCATCTCTTATGTTGCTCAAGTTTGAGAGGGATAATGGAACAGTCGGCTCCCTAAGGGGATATCAGAGAATGGCCCGAGAGTGCTATCTCTCGGATGTCAAGCCCACTGTTATGGCTACTGGGTCAAGCGGTGAAAAAACAGACCTTGACAAGGAGAGTGCGCCTGTTCAAGAAGCAGGCGGCAAAAAGAGAAAGGCATCCCAGACAGGGGCCGCAAGAAAAGCAAGAAAATAGCAATCATTGGCAGAGGAGCGGCCGGATGAGTTCCGCCCACAACCGGCTGGTGAGCATGCGGACCTGATATTAGACGACTCACGTCCTGACCGAACAGTCAAAGTTGGGACGACTGCTCTGAGAAACCTTGGTGACGACTTTCACAACCTATTGAAAGAATACAAGGACATCTTTGCATTCGAAGTCCATGAAATACCAGGCATTAGTCCTGATATGGCGGTACATAAACTGGTCGTGGATCCGAAAAAGAAGCCGGTACGGCAAAAGAAGCGGAACCATGGCGAAGAAAGAAGTCAGGCGGCAGCCGTCGAAGTTAAAAAATTACTTGATGCAGGGTTCATTCGGCAATGTTACTTCCCAGACTGGGTTGCAAATGTGGTGCTTGTTAAAAAGCCGAATGGCACCTGGCGAATGTGTGTAGACTACACAGACTTAAACAAGGCGTG